TCCTTGAGATAAATCTCTCTCTCTCTCTCTAACAACGCTTCACTGGTTTTGCTTCTCTAGGGAACCCAGCCTAAGACAGGAGATATTAGATTTCCAAGCAGGCAATTCGATTTCTGAGTCTGGAGCTACAGGGAGAGGTCTAGGATGATGTCCACTTGAGAGTTATCAATATTTGATGGTATTTAAATCCTCCGACTTTTTTTTTCAAATTGTGGTGTTGGAGGAGAATATTAAATATACTGTATTCAATATAGTGTGGACTGTCAGAGACTGAATAACTCATTCTTAGGAGAAATACAATCAGAATACTCCTTATAAGTAAGGATGGCGAGATTTGGTCTTGCTTACTTTGGATATGTCACCAGGAAAGACTAACCTCTAGAAAAGGACATCATGTTTGGTAAAGTAGAGGGTCAGCAAAAATGAGGGAAACCCTCAGTGCAATGGGCTGACACAACAACCACACCAGTGGACTCAATATAGCAACAATCATGAAGATGGCGCAGGACCAGGCAGTGTTTTATTTTGTTGTACGGAAGGTCACTGAATCAGAGCTTACACAATGGCATCTAACAACAATAAAAACAAAGCCTTCAGACTAGATGAGATTGCTTTGGAAGTGAATAAAAATGGTGAAGAGAAGCCGTCTAAGGATAGAGTCTTGGGGCAGACCAATGTAGTGTTTTAGAAAGAAGTATTTAACTTGTTTTTGGTTTTATATGGCTAGATAGAATCCTAGGTTAAGGAAATAATCTTATATAAGGGGAATTCTGTTGGATGAATTTTAAGAGATGCCCTATCAGCGTCTAACAAAATGATATTTGTAGTCTCCTTTGAGCTATCTGTCTATACGAAGTCTTTTTTTTCTTCTCATATTCTCTATTCCCAGATAACATCCACGTGGCTGTGGTATTTTCTTTTGACATACTGGGGTTTCTATTGCTTATATTCTATTTGAGATTTTCCCCAACCATATCTATAAGGGAATTCCGCTGTAGTTTTCCATATTACCATATTAGAATTTTATACCATGTGATGCTGGTTTTGTATAAATAACTGGGAAGCTTTTACTTTCCTCTAATTTTACATTGAGAGAATTTAATAAGATTCATTAATTTACTTTATAGCTAGAAATCAAACCCAACAAATTGCCTTCGAGTCGATTCCAACTCATAGCAACCCTATAGCACAAAGTAGAACTGCCCCAAGGCAGTTTTCCAAGGCTGTAATCTTTTTGGAAGCAGATTGCCACATCTTTCTCCTGCGGAGCAGCTGGTGGGTTTGAACCTCTGACCTTTTGGTTAGCAGCTGAGTGCTTAACCATTGCATACCAAGGCTCCCTACTTCATAGTTACTAATCTATTACCATGGCCATCTCTTCTTGATAATATTTTTGTAATTTATAGTTATCTGGAAAATCATCAATTTATCCCAAGTTTTCTAATTATTAGAAGGAATTGGACAAAGTATTCTTGAAATAATTCAGTTCCTCCAGAGCTTTCACCTTCCCTCTCATCACACTGTTATCCTCTGATACTTTTCCCTGCATCCTGTTTAATTTTCCTGAGCCTGCCATCCAAGCCAATGGTTTTTGTTTTCTGTGTCTCAAGGATCATGTTTTATGTGTCTAATTCAATCTTACTTCTTTATTGTTATCATTTCCTCCTTCATTATTTTTTCTAGATTTTTCAGTTCCAGTTTTATTCTGTTGTCTTATCATCGCTTTTATTTTATAAGCAAGTTTTCTTTAATTTCCTTCCAAGTGGGAATCTGCTGGATTCTACCATTTTTTTGTTACATATAGTTAATCAATTTATTTTTTAATGCTATGTTATTTTTCTACTTTGTAATTTGTCAAAAGTTGCTTTGGAAAGAATTATCTATGTGAGATCAAATTGACAACAGCAACTCAAAAGGTTTGATGGGAAGCCTAGGGGACAGTGAGTTGAAGACAATGGTGATGGAATAATTTGGAAAAGGATAGTGAGAATAGCAGCAGAACTGGAAGAATGTAATCGATGTCACTGAATTGTACGTGTAGAAATTTTTGAAATGGTGTATCTTTGGCTATG